AAAATAGAGAATTCAGCAGATTAAGATTTATAAAACAGAAAAACAAAATTTATGATAAAGGACACTAAAAAACCTGAGAGCGCAAAATCAACCCCTCTTTCCCTCCCTCCCCTTTTTTTTTGGATAATGATAATAATAAATAATGATTTTTCTTTGTTGTAGGCTCATGTGCAGATGATGAATTTGTATGTGATGATGGCAGCTGTGTCCCTGAAGGCAACCGGTGTGATGGAGCGCCACAATGTGATGACGGATCAGACGAGGAAGCCTGCTCAGAACCGTGTTTCCATTGGCAGTTTGTGTGCAAAAACAAGCAGTGTGTAGATGTAGAGAACCCCCTGTGTGATAACATAACACAGTGCAAGGATAAAAGTGATGAATTCAATTGTACAGGTAATGCAGTAATTACTGCTGGAGGGCAGTGGTTGGGGAACATACTTGTTTATTCTTTTTAAGTGGGACAAGAGTAGAAAGAACTGGAAGGTTAAGGCAAAGCTGAAATGATTCATAATAAAATAATACTTACAATACATGTTATTATACATACTATTATACAAATGTCTACCGGGAGGTTAGGCCTACTTAATAACCCCTAAACTTCATTAACCACCATTAGTCTTTTCATCTTCTTCGTGTCGAAGAGCTGTGCGAAGCGAAAGTGTCAGTTATTGAACTAATAACAGATCATTCTAATACGTGCAGCTAATGCACACGCACAGTAATCATTAAGAAACCCGGCGACCGTAACCAGCAGTTTAATTTATGAATATATAGCAACCGCTCTACAACCCGGCTGTTTGACTAAAGGGCCATGTGAAAGGTGATGGACATCACAACTGATTTTATATTCAAATAATTTTGTATACTATAGGAAAAAGAAGCCTTCGAAGCTATTAATTCCTTCAAAAATTGCCTTAAGCCCAACAGGCTTCCTATAGTGTACTCAAAACCTGACTATAATTGCTTAACATTAACATGACTGTTTGCTTCCATGCACAAGAAGGATGACTGGATTTATTCAGTTTTTGTCAAAAAGTGTTTTTGTCACAGTATATTTTTGGAAATAATAGAAAATGTTTCTGTGCTAAGGAACATGTCACATAGGTGCTTCACGACAATTTTAATAAAGAATGTATTAGATTCTTATAGTTTTGCTGCTGTCGGATATTGCTGTTAAACTCAGTGGGCATTTACCCACAGGTGAGCATTTACCCACAGGTGGGCAAAGTGCTGTTCAACAGTGATTTTGTTGTGGCCCGTGAGAATAAATTAAAATCCATCTGTTTGGCCCTCCACCCATTTTTTTGGCTAGGAAATTGTTTTTTTTATGTTCCAGCACAATTCATCTGTAATAAAGTAATATTAAACTGAGTGGTGTAAAAGTAATGTATTAAGGTTTTTTGGAAGCACACTGGCCCTCACTTTGAAATATGAGAATTATATTCTTATTTTTGGCCTCTGACCCATGTTAATGCCCACTCCTGTCTTTACCTGTAAGCATGAAGTTATGAAATTGAATCCTGAATATTAATATATTTGCATTATTATTTTGCTTTTAGTGTCAGTTAGACAGTCCCAAACCAACGACTTCAAAGAGAAGGCCTTAGTAGCTGCAATCATATTCAGCATTGTGCTGGCTGTGATTATCATAACGTTGGTGATTTGCTGTCGACGTTTGAACCCAAGCGAGGCGTTGGACAACGAGAGGTATAACAGCGCCAGCCAACACAACCTCTCAACAGTACTGGTCCTCAACCAACTTCACAAAGAACAAACAACTCGTAAATACTTAAATTGTAAGTATAACATAAAGAGCAATATAAAATTTCAGTTGAGGTTCGTTTATTTTAAGTATAACATAAAGAGCAATGTAAAATTTAAGTTTTTGTTCATTTAGGTTGTGTTTCTGCAGCACATATTATCCGATAAAATTATCGGAAAACAAAAATTTTTTTATTTTTCGCTGCAGACACGGGCCCAAATTTTCTGTTAAATTTTCGTATGAGGTTTAGATAATTTATCGTAAAAAGCTCCGAATGAGAAAATAAATAACCTTTGACCGATGTCAAATCACGGCCATGTGATGTCCATTTTAAAATTCAGGAAATTTTTACTCAATCACATTGGTAACCGACTCTCGTAGTTTCGTTGGTGCGTAACCCTCTTTCAAAAAGTACTGCCACGAAGGGCGTGTCATTAAAAGACAAGTTTCAAGCGAACTCTATTCAAATTTTAATAGAGCGCCCCCTATCTCATGGCAGTACTATTTTTAAACATTCCATTGCAGGCGTACAAAATCAGGGCAGTCGGACCTCTTGCAGTTTTATACTTTTGCTAATGCCTCCAAGAACTGAATCATAATTTAATATAATGATATCTGTCAAAAAAGAAATCAGATTAAATGAGAACTATAGTTTTATGTACAGTAATTATATCTACATAATCATATTAAACTGATGAGACATAGCTTGGGGCATAAGTATCCCCCATTAAAATTAAATTACATTTGAATTTAGAAAAAGAAAGATGGTTAAGATTAATGCAATTCTTATCCTAACCACAGGCTATAACACTATTTTTGTGCACTGATTTTATCATTTTTTTACAAGCCTTAAGGTGTTTTAAAGTTGTGTCTGTGTCCACGATTGATTGACGTATTAGAGAAATATTCCTTGTTTGATTGATGTTTGTTAAAATATTTGTTATGATATATTAAATGAAATATAATATGATTGATTGATTGACGTTTATTATTAGTGTAATATTACTTGATTGACATATGTTTAGTAGAATATTCTTTGATATGTAATTAGCTAATATTCTTTGATTAAATTTAAGTGAAAAAATGGAGACATACTATAAGTTAAGGCGGTTTGGCGCAGCGGGAACGATTTGGTTTCCCAACCTCGAGGTCGGGCTTTCAATTACTTGCGGTGCATTTCGCTTGTGTCCTTGAGCAAGGCACTTTATCTGCATTGCTTCTCTCTACCCAGGAGTATAGGTGGGTACCTAAGTAGGTCTGAGTGCAAAATGCGCTGATATATTTCATGCAGCAAACTATGGAATTTCCCCATTAGGCATAGTTCCAATGACTGGGGTAATAATGTGGAGAAGTGCTCAGAGACTTTGTCGTGTTGAGCACTATCAAAACCTACATACTATTATAACTTAACATTCTTTGATCGAGGGAAAATAATTTATCATTTTACAGCAACAGTGATGATGCACCCAAAGACGACGAACCTCACAAACTCATTGAAAGGAAACAGTAGTGCAGGAACAGGGGTAAACGAAAGACCAAGGCCAACCGGCACCTCCTCGTGCTCCAGTAACAGTGTCTCCGGATATCCCAAGGAGACCCTTAACCCCCCTCCAAGTCCAGTCACGGAAAGGTCACATTTTCCAGTGGTGTATTTTAATCAGCCAAGTCCAAAACTGCCTCTGAAATCCTGTTATAAGTAAGTATTATAATGAATTCATACAAGCAAAATCAACTCCATCAAAACATTTGTTTGTTACTATTGCCATGTAACATACTGTCTTCTCTAGAGGGCGCTTTTAACTTCATCGTACACCAAAAGACTGAAATACACGAGTCATTGAAAATGACAAAAATTATGAATATAATACTGTATACTTTAGTACAGATAAGCCAAAATACTTTTACTTATAACTTTGGCAGTAGTAAGTAGATTCAACCAATTATTTTAAAGCTTAAAATGAGGAAAATAAGAATATATTAAAAATTTAATTTTTAATTTTTCGTTACTGATGCTAGTTTTGGGGTGGCAAGCCTCATTTCATTGCAGTTACTGTGTCAAATATTAAAGGATGAAAAATTGTTAAAAGTTAATTTGAATGTTTACTGGTATTAAAAGTTATAATATACAACAGTGCAATAAATTAGTAGTCAAATCTTGTTATTGAATAAATCAAAATAGAATAAAACACAAATAATGTAATTTATTTTAATTTCAGTTCAGTAAAATAAAACTTTATTTTTATTTCCAGACACTACAAAGTTAGAAATATTCCACCTCCTCCAACACCATGCAGCAGTGACATCTGTAATGACAGTGAACCAACTACTAACTTGCACAAAAAGCGTCGCAAAGGAGGGCGCTATTATAAGTGCGTGGAAGTGAAGTATGACCTGGCGGATCCGTATCCGCCACCGCCCACGCCGCAAAGCTGTTTGTCAGACAACCAGGAGAGTTGTCCTCCGTCACCCTCGACAGAGAGGAGTTACTTCAACCCGTACCCCCCACCTCCATCACCAGCGACAGATTCCACTTAAACTGTGAGAGGTGGGGAAGATCCAATTTTGTATTATTATAAAGAAGATATTTTTCTACAGCAAATAACTGGACTGGATTTATGGTTTGGTGGTGTATATTGTGTATCATATGCTTGTACAGCAATTAATTATGACATTTGTGGATATTGTACAGTTCCTAATAATTAGCATTTTTATATAGATAAATGATATTTCTGTACCGCTGAAAAGAAAATATCATTTAGCGAAGACAAGACAGTCCTGAGATGGCATTAGAAGTACATAGTAAACAAAGTTACAACTGTTAGTGTACAGGTAAAGATGTATACTACATACTTAAGGCAAAAGGAAATGTTTAACAAATAACACAAATATGCATAATATTAAAGGTACACAAGTTGCAATATTATGGTACTTAGTATTGAAGTGGAAAAAATTCTAAGTTAATTTAAAAACGAAAGTCATGACTGACCAATTTTTTGACATTTGGAACTAATTATTCCGATTTTATTTTTTCCCTTCTGTTCATTCTTGCATTCAAAAAACTGTCATTTAATTTAAAAAAAATTATCATTTAAAAGAATGTAAAAAAATAGAAAAAAAAACATCAAAATTTAAATAAACTGAAACAAGAAAAAGTAATCAGGGATTAAAAAAAAGCATCATCATCCGGAACCGTATGCTGCTACTAAGAACATTAGATCTTGTCAGTCAGACTTAACTGACCAATCAGAGCAGGGCAGGAACATGTGCTAAGCATATGACCTCGACAACAATATCCGAGGGGTGGGACTTATTGGGGAATGGTCCAGCCATTGATACCATTAATTTTAACCAAGTAAATTTATCATTACTGTTTTCAAGATTGGCTCAAGTCTTGCAATTTTCTATAGAATAATGCACTGAAATTTCTGCAAAACCCATTGAGGGAAAATGTTGTAAATTATTTAAAATTCATAAAAAAATATAATTCTTGCAGAAACTTACCATTCAAATTATAATTATTATAATTATTGTTTCATTATTCAAATTATAGATCTGTGATATGCATGTTTTTTTTTTATAATCATGAGATTCAACCTGAAAAAATGTTTATCTTTATTGGAAGTATTTATAAATATTTGTAATAATTGCCACCTATTTTTCTTCCTAGTTACCTTTTATTTATTTTGTAGAATTAAAGAACTTTGGTAGCAACTGGACTTTGATGGTGTGTGACAGTTTAAAATTGAATCATTAACCCATCTGGGAAGAAACCATAATTTTTGTAAAAAGATTAACAATTTTGTAACAAAATTTTATATCCATATTCTTGAAATGATCATAATAATTGAAAACATAATGTACGATAACCAGTTGTACGTTAACATTATACAAGGCTTGCCATCCCGTAACCAGCGTACTGTCGTTAATATTGTTAAACTGAATAATTAGCATAAGATTGTGGCAGTATTTTGGTAGAGATGCGAGAATACTTTTACTCATGACTTTGGCAATAATATGTTGATTCCATTATTTTAAATCTTATAATGTGGAGGAAATACATTAAAAAGTGCATTCATGTTTTTTATCACTGTCCCTGGTTTCGGCAAGGCAAGCCCCATATATATAACCTTACTTTTCTTCCATCTTATGTTCGAAGGATGCCTCAAAAGATTATTTTTGAATGTATGTACTTTTATTTATTATAGCATACCATATCTACGACAAAAAATATACATGTTTATAAGAAGTGCCTCGACTTAAGTGTGAATAAAAATATTGAGAAAATTTCTTCTCAGTGCGAGATACTCTAATTAAAGAGCAAAATCTCGTGGCATATTTTAAAGATTGACGTTTTGTATGTAAATTTTTAAAAAAGATCTTTGTCTTCCTAAAGATAAATATTTCCATCTTGTCAATCAAATAATTATCATATGTAAATCAGATTTAAACACATATCACTTTGTTTTTTTCTTCCTTAATTGTATTATAAACATGAATGACTAACTGCCACAGCCAAACCAAACTGAAGATTGACATTGAATTTTCTATTTGTTAAATCTATCTTGCAGCAGCTTCCATAGTAAATGGGCTTCAGAGATAAAGTACGGTGGGGGGGGGGGGGGGGAGATTAAAAATTTGTGCTTGGTATAATGTTGTTCGCCAAACGCAGGTACTGCTGCGGTTGCAACTAGTAAATTTGCATCGTATGTTGTTTACCATAGAGTATTATGGGTGAAAGGTGAAATGTATTATTTTCATCTTTTATCTTTTGTTAATCCTTTTATAAAATAATGTTAATAAACATATTGCTGCAAAATGTTTTTATTATACATTATAAAACACTGGTATTTAAATCTTAATAATAATACTACAAATTCAATATCTTTACACCAGGATACCTTTAACCAATTATGCATTTGGTAAACAACTACATGATGTAATAATGTTTGCTATTGCACTGTCCTTCCATGTTCATCAACTGTGACTTCCTTATACAGATGGATGAGAGGGGGTGGGGATGGGGTTGTATAATGCGATTGGTTTGGTACACTCATTTTTTTTTATATAAATACAAGAGAAAATAAAGATTGATAAATGCTAGGTGAATGCATTTATAATTTAGGTCTATAAATTCATCAGTATATTAGATTTCAGAGTGATTAGATACGGATGTGAACATTTTCCTATTTAGTGACTAAGCAGCGTCGCTCTAAAATGTATGTGGTCTGAGTACAGAATAAATTTTATACTTCCAAGTTTTATATCAAATATTTTTTTGTATGTACATAGTCAACATCATAGTTAACTCGGTTTTCATTTTATTTTATTTTTTATAATACTCATCACATTGATTTCTATATCTATGCACAGATTCCTTACAATAAAAGTACAAGACAATTATTACACATACATAATTTGTAAACATTTTTAGGGTTTCATATAACAATTAGCCTTCATATAGATTGATCCATCCACAGTGATTATCTCCAGGGGCGGATTGCTGTAAGCAGTCTTTAGACGGTCTTAATGGTTAACCGGCTATAATCGTGACGTTGCTACTGGTCCATTGCTATACTGCCAGTTAGCCGTCTTAAATTTTAAAGCCTACTCGGAGGAGGCTTAAAATGGTCTTAAATCATTTTCATCATGGCATTCTGCTGATTAATTTAACAGTGCAATGGCAAGACCTAGGCCCAGATCGTCAAAGTCGGGGAATCGAATGATGAATTTTCCGCACTCTTCTCAGCATTTGTAAAAATAGTTCTACGTTTATTTACGTTCGTTTCGATGCATTTGTGTGCCTCAAGGATGCATGACGTCGCCCCCAATCTTATGTTAACAGGGAGTGCTTATTTGCGTCTTAGAGAAATGAATTTAGTCAGACCGTCTACCTGAAAAAGCCGACTTTATTCGAGCAGTTAAGACTACCGGTTAAGACCGTTTAATAGCAATCCACCCCAGAGCTGCATATGCCATGTCAGGGGATTCGGTAGGGGATTTTTGCACATCATATGCTAGAAATGTAAATATCAGAATTATAATATATAGTATCTACAGTATTTTGTTTTCACCATAATTTATTCTTAATGGTTCGCACCACCGTACATGCATGTTGGGGGGGGGGGACCAAAGGAGATCCACAGCAATGGCAGCGCCAATAGAGAGCGCCTTTTTCTAACTGGATTTGTCTATAGCACTTAACTTTCTTTAAAATGTGGTTCTGGCACTCTTACATTAGCTTTCTGTATACTGTAATGATCTACACAGCCAGCAGACAACACATGCTTGAATAAAGTCTTTAGCCAGGAGGGCCAAGCTCTATGTGGCCATGCTTCTGTGATAAACCAGCCCTTTGGCTCCACTAATGGGCACTAAAGCAGTCCTTAAATGAGTTGATTGTTCAACACAATGTCTTAAAACCTTGAAACCCTGTAATCTTATTTGACAAGATGACATGCCTAAATATGGTCATGATGACATCATGTCATGACCATATATAGACACTTAATTACTATATATAGGCATACAACTGATACTTGTCCAAAAAATTTGGATATCATGGACAGAGCTTCATTCAATATTATGACATGATTACTCATTTGAAGGATCAAATAATACAGTATTTTATTTTCATCATAATCTATTCTAAATAATTTACACATGAAATGCATTTGGGGGAAGACCCTAAGGTCTCCAGCAATGGCGGTGCCAAGAGAGAGCACCTTTTCAAATTGGATTTGTCTGTTTTTAGGAATATATGAACAGCATTATGCATCTATCAACTGCTGCGATATATTTTTCAATTTTTTTAAATACTGTAATAGTATATTAACCAATCATTATGAAGAATACTGTGAAACTTTTGCAAACTCAAATAATTTTTAAGTCGATCTTATTTAACATGCCAAATTGTTGTGTTTTCCATTAATTTTCCATTAAACAATCTGTACGTCAAATTTTATCAAAGCCTAACAATTGAACAGTTCAACTGTAGATGCATATTCATTATTCATATGAATATATTATATACTATGAATAACAAAAAGTATATATAAAATAAATATGAAATGCAAATTGTTAACAAATTTTATCTTCAATAATAATAACACCTAAAATGAATATGCATTCTGTAAATTGTACACTTGTATAACTTCATATAAATTTGTGTCTCCATTTGTACCAAAAACAAAATAATACATTTTCTACTTTTATTAACATTGCACTATTATCAGTAGTCATGAAACAAATGACATGTATTATTTAGAGTGCATATTGATTGTAAAGGTTAAACAATTCATAAATCGTTTTCTTTTTCGTATATAAATAATGGAATGTGTCCCAGTTTTTGCTGTGTGATGTAATTTTGATTTTGCTTTTGACTGGGCCTGCTCTAACAACCGTCTAATTTATAAAAAGCATCTACTTTGCCCTCTCTACCATCCCAGCATGCATTGTGGCAAACAATGACGTACTAATTGGTGGACCTTTAAGGGGTGTCAATCGAATCATGGAGGAATTAATCAAACTTAAGCAATCAGAACAAGGCCATGAATATGCACATGTCCGACAAAACACTGCTTGCGTATGTTTTCACATTGTCGTTTTGTGGGACCTTCGTAGCAATATTCAATGGGCGGGGCTTTGCGGAAAGGTAAATTGCTTATCAATGAGTTGTTTTTTCAAGTGTCTTCCTCCGAGTCGTCATGTTCCTCTGGTAATGACATCTGATTAAAACTCTCCTCTAAGCTAACCATCTTGCCATCAGCTCCAACACTCATCGGTTTGATTATCCCTTCCCTACAAAATATAAATATAGTACAACATTTGACAGCGGATACAATAACATTTTAGTTAATACCAATTTTATTTATTTACATTTTTGATGGAGTTGTACTAAAAAAATACTGTACATTTACCAATATATTCATCGATCTATAAACCTGAACGAACACCTTGCAAGCCAGATTACACACAATTTTAAGTACAAGTTTATTTTTGCCTGCTTCCTTTTTTTTGTTGCCTGGATTTTTTCAGCCTTACAGTGTCAAGCATTAATTATATTTTTCCCTACTTTGGCCCAAGTAGATCATATTCATATTCATTAGCATAATTTTAGTGAAAAAGCTCACAGGCAGTAATAGAACCTTTTTGTGACAAGTTAGACAAGAAACAAACTGGTTTTTTCACTTGTTAATAGGTAATGAGAATACAGTACACATAGATTGTAGTGTTTTTAGGCTCAAGCCCCTACCCCCTCCCTAGAAAAAGCTTGTGGCCCACAGTCTTCCCCCACAGAAAATGCTTGAAGCAAAACAATTACATTCAAGTATAGTTAAACATCTCCTTATTTTGCAAGCTACCACCCCCCTCACTTAACTCCCAACTTCACCTTCGCACCCCAAACAGGTACTCCACGTCCCTATTTTGAGACTCCTATATGCCACTGCAGTACTATTATTCCAGGTTAAGTAAGCAATTGTGTTTATTTTGGTACAATATTATTCTTCTGTCTCATAGGCTTTAGATCGCTGTAGTAAATTACATCCTGAAAATGCCTTACCTTGATAACTTCATGCACAACTGAGCCAGTTTTTGTGCCTCGTGTTCCTTTTGCTCATCTGACATTCCTTCCAAAGGACTGGGTTTGTTCTCTTCAACTCTACCAGTTATTGGGTTGATTCTAAAACAAGAAAATGTCGTAAAGATTTAAGATTCATGTATTACTGAAAATTACTAAGAGCCTTTCTCGAATAGGTGCCTCACTCAATTAAGTGCTGCAACAAACAAGCTCTAGACTTAGATAAAAAAAAATATATATAATGTATACTGTACATTAATGCTGTCACTGTATCATACATTATATTTACATAATATTTCAGTGGTTAGGAGCTTGGCATTGTTCTCAACCTTAGTATTTAGTTCTTAAATGAGGTTTACCTCAGTTTTAGGACTAGCAGTAGTTTTGTTGGAATTTTTAAAATTTAAATTAAGTACATATTATAAAATTATAAAAAAAATCTAGTACTGTTTTGGTATTTTTCCTTTTAGTTTGTGATTTTTAAAAAAAATTTATTTATTTCAATTTGTAATCCACACCTCAAAATGTTTTCGGCTTTTGTAGTGTGAATCGCATTTAAACAAATACTACTTTAATTAAGACAGTAAAATGTTGTACTTAAAAAAAGAAGATTAGCCAATTGTGTTTGTTTCACTTACTTATCTATTACATCTGAATATGTATCCGTATCGCTGTCTTCATCCGAGCTGTAGTCCCCATGCCCTTTTCCTAGGGTCATTAAACCTCGTCGAGCAAGTAGACCGGCTGCATTACCATAACCTGTGTACTTGACCAGTCTCCCAGCTGTGTATGTGCCGAAAATAATATAATAATAATAAATATTTACAAAGCGCAAGTTCAAAATCTATCGAAGGCGCTAAGTGAGGAAATACGTCAAGTTAACATTCCTATAATGAATAAGTTTTAAGATTTTTCTTAAAAGAAAGCAAATTAGACAAACCGCCAACTGAAAGTGACAAGGAACAATTGGAATTAATAATATAGGCTACAAGTATTAAATTTTTCTGTCAAAATTAATTTTGAACTGTATACTCACGATTTTCTTTGCACAATATAAACAAGAATTCCGCTACTAATTCTTTCACATTAGTATTTGGACTTGTCATAAAACGAACTAATCTGGAACATGAAGGTAATAGAACATGATCAATCTAAGTAATTTGTTAGGTTATTTCAATATATTCCTCCTGGTATCTTAGTTAAGCCCAGACGGCGATCAATGTACGCTACCGTTTTCACAAACTAACACAAACTACTTTCAATTGTGACTGCAACTTTGAATTGTGGGTATATTATTACCTGTTTCTCAAAGAGTCGCCCTCTTCAGGTAGTGATGAACAAATGGTAGCGGTCAATGGCGGTAGTACCTGTTGATAACACACACAATATATGAACACTTATTATTATTACCGCCGCCCAACGAGGTTATGTATTCACCGCTGACTATCTGTCTGTTAGCAAGATTACGCAAAAACTAGTGAATGGATCATCATAAAATATAGTGAACCAGTACAATTTTGGGAAGAAAAGACCAAAGGACAAGGTCATGAATTTAATTTTTTTTTTTTTTAACCTTGAGCATAAAAGAAAATGATGGAATGGTCCATCATACACGACCTGCGTATTGTTCAGTAGTCAGGTACAGGGCAGAAAACAATGGACTCGCTGATCATACACGGCCTGCATATTGTTCGGTATTCAGACACAGGGCGGAGTCATGTATGTATGTAGAGTGACTGCAGCTCTACTTAATTATTGCTTTCGCCAAAAAGTGGAATCTATTGATTCAACGCCATTTACCTGTCTGTTATCAGGATTATACATTTTAAACTAATGAATCATTATAAAAATAGTATGGTTGTGATTAGCGTTCAAGGGAGGTTCACAATTAAAAAAAAAAACAAAACAACAAAAAAACAATCGGAAACAAATATATTCCCAATGAGTGCATATTGTCTATGCCTTGTTTATGTTTACAATATCAAGAAACAAATTCTTATGCTCAAATAATTTTACCTCGATACATTTATTAAAACTAGAAAATAAATAATCTTCTGTTACCTTTTCTTTTAAGTACTTTCTTATGAGTGCCTCAGTCTTGGATACAGCACAGAGTGCTGTCAGGGCCGGGGAGATCACCTCCAAACCTGACAGTCTACTGTTACCTTCAACCTGATAACAGGAGAAAATGTGAGAGTTAACCAAACTTATCATCCAATACTTCAAGTGCTATCAGCACCCTTTCGTGAGGTTGAATGATGTTGACGAGAGTACATTTCAAAAAAAATTTTTCCAACGATATTGCTTCAACAAATAAAAAAATTTGTAATCAAATAAGCTTGAATGGATGGATTTATTTATTCGGTGTAAACACCAAGGATAACCCACGAAAGTCTAAAGAAGACTTATTTCCAGTGGGGTCCTTCTGGTGGTGATTGGGCAGTACACCGGGAGACAATCCCATACTCTTTTCCAAATAGTGTACTGCATTCTTCAACGTTCACACGGGCATAATAATAATGCACCAACGGCTTAAATGCCTCATCTGAAAGATGGCGTGCTATCGTAACTTGCATTTCAGTCCTCCAACAGAAATACGAGAAGAGCAGCAATGGAGATTGAACCGTGGATCAAAGTGGCTACCACCAGTTTAGTTGACTGAACCTAAGCTGCTCCCTGAACATATTTGGGTGTTAATGTGAAGTTTATCTTCAATGTTAAATATATTTATCCTCACCTCATCTAATCTCTTCAACATGAACTTTAGGAGGAGGTTGACACACTGCATTGAATGTCCCATGTAAATGGATGATCCACCACAAGCGCCCTCTTCGGATTCTGGTATGAGTTGTTTGATACAAACCTTCGGCAAGAACACGGTCAAGAAATTTGTGAGGTGGCTGGAATGAAAAAAAAAAAAAGAGTAACATTTTCAAGCTCTCAAATTTTATACTGTATATTTACACATATTCTTAAGTAAGGCACTACATTATCTAAGTAAATATTTTTTTTTTTCCAGTAGCATCTCCCAATTACGTAACCCTCAGTGTGAACAGCTTTCACAATTGAGAAAAGTTATAATTTCAATACTGTTCATACGGCATCTCAGTGCTAAGGCTCTATGCTATTCAGGACCAAGCCTCGCCATGGGAGGTTTTTTTAAAATGCAATCTTAAGTATTTCTGTAGTGAGAGAAGGTTGTTTGTAATAAATTTGAAATCATCGCTTCAAATGGGGTGAGTAAAATAGAGACTTCATATTTGGGTGGTTCGTAACCGGGAAACGTTACTGTGATACATTTGATTTCTGTGGAAGTTGTTACATAATTAATTAATGTTATCATACCCATGTAATTTTTCAATTTCCTCTTCAGTTGGTCCCCTTACGAGAAATAACTTCTGTATTGCACACCCAAGAAGCTCCAAAGTCTCTTCGTTTTCCTTGATAAAAACGAAAATCAATAATATATCAGTGTTGTAACAACTCAATTTTCCATTTCCAAACCTGACAAGTTGACTCAACTTGACTCAATTCGACTCGTCTCAAAAAATCTTCTGTGACTCTATATGACTCGACCCAAATTTTGACTTAATTGACAGAAATTTTATACTCAATAATGGATTATAATGATATTAAAATATACATAAATAAACACATATGGAGTGTAATTGTATTTTTGTTGTAATGTAATGCTTATTCTTTGTCTAAAAAAACAGTAATATTTAGTTATGCAAATTTTGGATGAAAGCTAGACCTGAATCATAAATCACTGCAAGCTGGGATAATAACAATGCAAGGCAAATAGAACCCTAGCCCTGCTAATAAAATTTAAATCAACTAATAATAAATAAAAGAAATACCTCATTTAATTCAACATCAATAGTGATGTTAAAAAAGCACTTGAGAACCTCAACAGCCAGCAGAAGCTGTTTGCTTGTGATGGTGGTACTATCAGGCTGCAGAACGTGACTGTGCAAAGTGTTAGTAAGAACACTAACACCATTGCAATCCAGCCTGGCCACGCTCCTGCAACAGTAGATGTGTAATTAATCATTAAATACTAGTTTGTGAAGGTGACTTGTCCAGCTCAACATAAAAAAAAATGACAATGCAACACATATCATTTGGATTTGATTAAATATAAATTAAGAAGATGGTGATACAAGAAATTTGGATAGCATAGGGTATTTCTTTAGCATATTCATAATATTTTAAGTTCTAATATTGTGATTACTGTATGTTAATGAGTTGTAGTGAATTTAAGGCAACAGCTACACTTTCTGTTTAATATGTTATTAGGGAAATTTCGCAACCTTACGAAAACAATACGAATACGTCATTATCATTATCGTCATTTGTGCCTAAAATGTTTTTTGACAATATGTTGTATGAGCTTGATTAATGCAAAAGGCATGAATCGACTACGTTGTGACAGATATCCTACTGTAGGGAAGGGTTGTCTAAAAATTTGATGATATCCGTATTTTTATTATCGTTTTCGTAAGCTTGCGAAAATTCCCTGTTATTAAACAAGCCGGTGCCTAGGGACACAAATATGGCCTAGTTGTATATTTACAAAACTTGGTCAGCTATTGCCTTGTTGAAGGTAGCAAGACTCACACAATAACATTATTAATCACTATCAATAATTACAGTTTTAATAAAACATCAAGCCAGGTGCTGTCGTTGGCTGACACGATTATAGGATAGGATCTTAACGCAACGGATTGTTTTTAATGACATTCCATTTAGACTGCCACTGACAATCAGCAGATGGTGTCGCGTCGTCTACTGCTCATAGTGGGTGGGGTTGCGTTTGTTGCGTGACGGTCCTACGATGAAGTTAAGTGCCCGGCTTTAAAAAAACAATAACAAATCATAAATTTCCTACCTTGACTGCCGATTGAATGCAGTGATGAGGAACAAAAGTCGAAGGTCATAATACCTTGTGTCATCATTCAATGCTGGGTCACCAGTGTTGTTGACCCTCATTAGCATATTTTGAACACAGTCAGTATTACTAAAAAATAACATCATTTTTAATTTAAAAAATAATTTTTTTTTTTTTTTTTTTCAAATACTGCAGCTTGAAAATATACACAACATAACAAAACATAATCTAAATTATATAATTTTATTTAGGTGTTTGTAATTTAAGGTTTATGCTATTTGTATTGGCGCATTCTCCGAGACATCATAAATGAAATTATAATGATGATAATAATTATGAACAGGAAACAAATAAATTAGTTAGAGATGGTGGTTGATTTTTAAAATTTTCCCTTAAGGTTTGTCTCCACTATCAAATTTTCTTTGACAAAAATTATTGCATGGCCATATATAGTCATGATGTGCCTATGTATGGTCATGATGTGATGTCATCATGACAATATTTAGGCATGTAATTTTTTTTATTTTTTTTAAATAAAAAGTCTGGACAGAGCTTAGAAAACAGTTTTCATTGTTTCTAATCTGTTGTCCGCCATTCTGAGTAGGATTTTGCCATATATCTGATAAAAATTGCGATGTATAGACTATTTTTCTATATGAAATTATGTGCACTTATTGTTCAATGTGGAACTTGAACAAAAAAAGAAAAAAAAATGAATTATTACCCACAAATTTGTTGTACAGACTGACTATTGTAGACTAGGTTGCATAAACTCTTCTGTGCTTCTACCAAAGCTGTAAGATATGATTACTAATGGAATCAGATATTTTCTGTGAATTATTAAATCATGAAGTGCGAACCTATAATATTATGTTCACATAATCTTATTAAGTGAGCATGTCTATTTGGATGCTGTGGCAAAATTTTGAAACTTTTCAAATATTCAAATAAAACATCAAATTGCTCACTTACATACACAAGATAAGTTATCTACTTCAAATCCGACACATACCCAAATAATATAGAAATGATTACAATTGCCTGATCTATCAAAAATATCAGAAAGGTATTATTTAATGCAACTTGATATTTGACAAGGAAAATACTTTTTACGATTTACCGTATTTATTCGAATAAATGTCACACTTTGAATAAACACTCCCTTGATGAAAGCCCCTGCCCCAAGATCCTCATTTGATTAAACGTAACCCACAAATAAACGCCCTCCTAAATCACTGTTAACAAAACTAATGGAAGGAACACCATTTTTAAACACATTCTAGTAATGTTCATTACATTTTTGATACCCTTGTTTGGATCAATAAGTCTTTATGGTCACGCAATAACACATTTTGACTATAATTATGTTTTGCAGTTCCACATTTGTGTGAGTTTGTATCCATTTTACACCCAGAAATATATGCCTCCCTCAAATAAACGTACCCCTAAAAAATCCTTCTCAACGATATATATATTGTAATTTTTAACAGGAAAAGAGACACCTTTAACATTAACAATTTTTCTTTTCTTACTTTATGATCTCAATTTTAAACATCATTGTATACTGATTTACTTCATACACAATACCTACTGTATACCCAGCATACAGTTATTTAATTCAATTAAAAATTTTAAATATTAATCTGATAAATCTTACCATCTGCAATAAAGTCTTCATTTGTTAAGCCTGCAAATTTCATAAGCAATGAAACACCTTCTTCTTCTTGCAGCTGTAACAGCCGAAACTTGTCCCTGCTAAGGATTCGAACTGTCTCCAAACACAGGCGCTTACACTCAATGCCATATTCTGCTTCTCCAAGACACTGCAAAATATCGCCTATCAATTTCTGGTACAAAAATAAATATGATGATGACAATTTTTATTTTTGAACAATAAAGTACCTGTATACACAATTCCACATAATATTATGAATGTACAATGAACAATTAGAATGCAAAAAAAAGGGTAAATTTCTGAAACCTTGCTTTATAAAAGGAGGTATAAAAAAAACTATTTTATAACTCCTTGCTTAATATAGTATGGAAAAACTCATACATATTTATTGATTATTGCTGGCCTTTATTTTTTTTTTTAAAGAAATTGCAATTAGGCTTAATAACAAAACTTAAAATACTTAAATTTTTATCGTTTACTCTAAAATAATAAAAAATACAATTATAATATGCCTCAACATATTTTCATTGGTATTTTTTTTTCTAAACTGAAGAGGGTGTGCATCCTTCACCTACTCTTCTTTTTAAATATCTTCCTACCTTTTTAGTTTCTGTGTTCAGATCTTTGAAGGAAAACGTTTGTGCATTCTGCAAGACGATAAAAGGTTTAATTAAAAACAAATGCATTACAAAGTACACAGAACATTAACAAATGAAATCATATAACCAGGGAGTTGTTAGAGTGACTATAACAACTCCCAGGTGAGTGTGAAACCACTAACAATCAGACGATCGAAATGGGTCCAATCGTCCAGCACACTCAATAATGTAATAGTCCCGACCAGTCTGTCACTGAAACTACATAGCTGGGGCCTAGCCTAGGCGTGACGGTGGACCGGCGTGACTTGGCAAAAGCCTCTTGTAAATAAGCCTAGCCTAGTACTATATTAGGTGTAAAGAGTATGCATTAACATCTACAAAAACTGAAACTCACCTCCTTATTAAATTCTTGTAATTTACTACAGATCTGTGTTTCATCTCTACTGTCAAATGCAGTTGCCATCGGCTGCACAAATTCTTCCATTTTTTATATTCAGAATGAGACGCGGTTAAATAAAAAAAAAATGACAAAGAACCTGTAGGCCTAGGCCTATTGCAGATCGAGTTTAAATTGCGAATAAAACTTGCTGCCTACGAATAATTTAAACGGAAAAGATAACTAAATCCTTTTCTTTTCCTTAAAGTTTTTCTTATTTATTACTGGCCTATGCTTAGCTAGTGGTAGCTTAACCTATTTTTATTATTAATTTTTAATTCAACAAGCGTCTCAGCACACGGATTCGTATAGTATAGAAATAAGTTTCGACTATTTATACGGAAATACTATATTATTGCGTTAATAATATTATTAAGTTAAATCTATTGTTAGGCCTATGAATTTTCAACAACAATTCTTTCTTTTTGCGAAAAAAAAAAAAAAAAATTGAACAATTTTATTTAGGCGACCTATCAGTCCAATGATAATAATAACAATAATAATAATAATAATAATAATAATAATAATAATAATAATAATAATAATGATAATGATAATGATAATGATAATGATAATGATAATAATAATAATAATAATAATAATAATAATAATAATAATAATAGTTATTATTATTATTATCTTCAATATTATTATTATCATTATTATTATGTCTGTTTTTAGGTTTTTAAATCATTCAATCTTGAAAATGGTTCCATGATGGACCTGAAACGTGGTTCATCATTCAATTGTTGTCATCAAATTTTGTTTCGAAATAAAAAAAATAATACCGATCAAAAACGCAAAAAAATCAATCATTACCACATCAGCAGCCAATTTAAGAGTCTATGAAAAATAAACAGGGGGTGTGTTATTTTCAATTTCCGTTAATTGACGGGCATTATTTTTTTCTCATTCAAATTGTTCCTAGTTCGTTACGCTATTCAATGGAAGTGATTTATTTATTTTTAGCTCAAACTGTAATATCTTATATCTTTGCAAATTAAGCTTCTCTATCAAAATCAAACTATTACTTAATAAAAAAAAAGACTTACTGCTAGTTGAATATGAAACAGTCAAATTAGGTTTGCTGCGCGAGCGCCTCAATAACAAATACTAGATAAATATTGCTCGACTATTAAGTATTATACTATATGTGTTTTGTGCAGGCCTATATATGTTTGTGTGTGTAGGCTTCTATATATATATATTTAATAAATAAATAAATAAATATATATATATATATAATATAAATAGGCTACAGGGTAGCCTACGATGTTCCATCTTGTCCTTATTTAAACACTGTAAATGTACCTTTGATGATTTATATTATATTTATTCAACAGTGTTTACGGCTAACTCCCTTCAATATTATATATATATATATATATATATATATATATATATATATCGTTGAAAGTCGTTGAAACAAAAAATTATGACAACAAGGCATGTAGACTGTAGAACACTTCATTTATTTTCGAAAGAAATTTTCGGCCAGTCCTCTGGCCTTCATCAGCTTTACTGAATGTACAAGTTGGTTGTTACAAGTTCTATACTGTACAATATAAACAATACAATAGAGGTGTAGACGGATTATAGGCCAATTATCTGATAGTTTATGCGGTAATATATCTGTCTCTTATACACATCTAGATGTGTATAAGAGACAGCCATACCACTGCGACTCAGTGGTATGATACCGTAAATTATGATATTACGTGCCACTAATGCTTAACACTTAAAACGAAGATTATCGTTTTACTTTTCTGTGGATTAGTGACAACGTTGCTTATGACAGTGTTTAACTTTTTAGGATAAAGACTCATAGTATAGCTTTCTGACTCCAGGTATGTCGATAGGTATGATTATCGGGAGCATGTTGTCTGCTTGGCTTTGCTCAACGGATGTGCTTGGAGGATGGCCATTGTCCTTTTACGCATACGGTAATAAACTAACGAATTTCATACATTCCATGTTATAATAATGGTAATTTTAATGGATGTCACACATTACAGTCTGTCCTAAAAAGAAGTCTTGAAAAATAGAAAAAAAGCAAGGGATTTTTCTATCTAATATATATTTATGCATTACTATTCATTGTACTAGTGTTCAGTTGGGTAAAATATTTGTACTGTCTCTTATACACATCTTTGGCCTAACAGTGACATTGCGAATTTTAGATGGACTGGCTCAGGTAAGTACGCATAATATTCTGACTTTGTGTATGTGTTCGTGAGTGTAAAAGATTCAATGGAGCTCATACTGTAAAAAACTTTTTTTAAACAAAAACAAATATTCAGTTATTTTTACATTATAGCAGGGAACAGTGAAATATTAATTTTCCATGCTAATGCTGGTACAGTTATCTTTTTGTTATGTCCTTTACATTATTTATTAAACTTGTTGTATGAACCAGTACACCGTGGTAGGCCTTACTCGTACATGAGCTAATAGTGCAAACTAGGCCTAAGGATTAAAGTCAAAAAGACGAATCGTTTTCTATTTCGTAGGGAAATGTAATACCTGCAACTGTCGATATACTTTTCATATAACCAACAATTAATGACGTCTTTGAGGCTTAAACTTAAGATGGTTTTTGTTTTGAGGAAATCACATAAAATTCAACAATTTAATTTATTTCTTACTCCCTTTCGATATGAAAGTATAATACATACTCCAAGTATTGAAATACACGCCATTGTGTTGGGATTCAATATTTCGACATTAATTATGTCATCATCAGGAATGCCCTTTCGATATTGTAGCTTCATTTTTCCTTGTACAGTGCATGATTTCCGTGCAAATAGTCATCAAGGGTTCGCGCAAATCTCAATATCGCCAAATATGTGATTTGCATGATTGCCGAAAGATAACTAAGAAGGCTTTTCATTGGATGAATTCTGGAGAGTAATTCTTATGTATCCAATTATTACCTTTCTTTTGAATAACAGGATAGTAGTCGGTGGAAAGAAAATGGATGTCGTCGTATGTGCGTGATACAGAGAGACAGGACAGAAGCTTATACAATAGTTTTTAACATTCCAGATGTTTATCTTCAGTAAATATGCTGTTGTGTTTTCAATTATAGTTTTTACTTTTAGTTAAGTGATACAATAGTAAAAAATGTTCATATGTATTACCTAATCGTAGGCTAGAAAACTCGTTGACATTCGCTGGCTAGCCTACTACTAGCTAGGCTAGGCCAAGGCCTAGGTCACCTAGCCTTGTTTTGTTGGTTGGTGCTGCATGCATGCTGTTGTACAAAGCTAGCAAGTTGTTGGTTGGTTTACCCTGGCCACATGTAGTACCTCCTAGGCCTACTGTAACATAGCCTAACTAGACTAGTCTTTTATTATATTTGTACTATTTTGCAAACTCATATAAAGTTCAATTAAAAATTATCTCTTTTCAGTAAAGATGGTGGAAGCAGTTAAGCAATAACTATAACACCAAAACAAAAAAATAATAGATTTAAATTTGGAAGGGAGGCTTAAAGAAAGATCGACCTGAGCGAGATGGGCCGGAAAAGGCAGCTTCAGTTGGGATCTGCTCCCAAGAGAAGAACTGTGCTACAGTTAGATGACAATAGAGGTAGTCATAGCTTTTTAAGTTTTTAATTTTAAACAATATTTACAATTAAAATTTATAATTTTAGAGAATAATAATAAATGCCTAAGAAAACATTAATGATCATGGCACTTTTAGTCTATAAAGATGTCCCTTGAAAATGACCAAATTCATAAAAAATAATTTTTAAATTAACTTGCTCATTTTGCAGTAACATACAAATTATTAACTTGAGCATAGACATTATTAAATTAAAAAAAAATGTGCTCCCTGATTTGTTAACTGGATAATTATAATAAAGATAATAAAATACTTCCAGTGACTGGAAGTGTTTCTATCATTTTTTCGCTGTAAAATGATAGTTTTTATGGGTAAGCATTTTTTAAATACACTAATTTCTATGTTCAAGTTAATAATTTTTATGTTACTTCAAAATGGGCAAGTAAATTTCAAAAATGAATTTTATGATTTTTTTTTTGTTTTTTGCAAGGGACAGTACATCTTTAAATGCGCTTTCTTTTTTTAGCACTGCCTGTTTTAAACGTTTTAATGTAATAATCATTATATTTCAATTTGACACCATGGAACACTCTGTGGCTCTGACGAAAACCCTACAGTTGTCAGCACTTCAAATTGCACGCTAACAGCCAAAACATGTAGAGACTCAGCATCTCAACTTCTCAACTCGAACAATCCAAATACAAATAGGCGGAAGGCCAAATAAAATAAAGTGTTAGTTCACGTCCGAGATTTGAAATTATTTTTTTTTGGGTGAGGGTATTTACTATTTGCTTTTTACTATCCTATACTAATGGGCTGGTAAACAGTAAAAATTTTTTTTTTTTTTTTTTTAAAGAAGTAAAACAAATCTTTGTAATGTATAAATTTCTCCCATTTATGTTTTCACCTCTTTTTAGGCTTGACATCATTCTTTCAGAGTGTCATTATTTTTATTGTCCATGGAAAAATATTGAACAATTCTATCAAATATAATTATATAGAAATATTTTAAAAATACACACTACAGTGTTTTCCCAATTGAAACATTTTTACTGGTAAATTTGTCCATAAATATTTAGCTATGCGTGTAGTGTGAAACAACACATAACCTAGTCTTAGACTGGAATAATGTTCCTTTTTTGAAAGATCGCTAGCCTAGACAACCTAGGCCTTCTAATGTATTTTAAATTTTATGGAGAATTTTTCTAGAGCCAGTCAGTGAGTGAGATGTTAGTCTGCCTTAAATATTGACTGCCTCCTAGTTGTGTTGATAATTATTTTTTTGTTTTGTAGGTACTCGATTAAGCAGCCCTGTTCCGAATAAGCAAGGTAAAATTAAATGATACTTGGTTATAAAATTCTACCACATACTTTCACAGTGAAAAAAACATTTTTTAAAGTCACTTACAGATTATTAAAAATTATTGATTCCTGGTTAAATGGTATAACATTTTTTTTTTACAAATTTTCCTACAATCCATCAATTTTTTTCATTTGTTATGTGATGTCTCATTATTAAATATTTAACAAACAATATTTTTTTGCTTTTTTACAAATGCAGGTAATTCATTGGGCTTATTGAGCCACTATGGAGAAGATAGTGAAGAAGAGGAAGAAGGTGAATAACAATTTAACCTAATTCCCTGACTTTTATCAGGAGTAGATATTAGGAGATAATACTTTATTTTCAAAAATTAGATAAAAACACACCTAGCCACAGATTCATGCACAAAAGCCTGGGGTATAATTTGATTCAGTAGCTCAGCAGACTTTCGAAAATAAAAAAAATAAGATAAAATAATTATAGGAGAGCTACAAATAGCTCTCCTCCCAGTATCAAGGAGATCTTTGCCTCTCATCAGAATTTTGCAAAATCGGTTATTTGAACAAGGGGGCAGTTGTGGCCAAATTCCTAGCGAATCTCGGTATGGAAAAAAGCATGAAATCCGTGTAAATAATTGTTCTATCAAATGTAAATATGATTTATCTTTAGTTTAATGCAAAATTTGATAGATTTTAATTATGAACTACATTTCAAAATACAAATTTAGTTCCCTGGTAAACCAAAAAGTGCTATTTCTTGCTCTCTTTTGATCGTTATGAGGAGTGCGAAAGAGCGGCAGTGCAATCGCGCTCCTTTAAAATGAAGATCTGCTTAGTTAAGCCGGCCTTTGCCACCACTCTCTTCTAATTCAACCTCTCACAATCGTTATTTCTCAAAGTATTGATTGTCTTGTTGGTTGGTATAAGGTGTTTGTTTATTTGTTTGCATGGGAGATTCAGTATTGAAAATCAGCCATTGGTTTTGGCTTGTATAAAGTTGAAAAAAAAATATTTTCATGAAAAGTCAACTCCTTGGATATAAGCCCACCCCCAAAATTGGCCCATGTGTTCAAGGTGGGTGAGTTTATACCAGAAAAACATCATGAGTAGATATAATGTATTGATCAACGTGTAATGAGTAGAACAACAAAAAGAAAACAGTCATAAATGCTCTTGTAATTTTAGAATGTACAGTTGAACTTGGAAGTTGAAATGTAAGTCGAATCCAAAATGCCATTGAAATATTGTCGACTTAGATAAAATTCGACTTACAGGTTGTTAATTATTGGAAAACACAACAATTTGGGATGTAAAATAAGATTGACTTAGAAATTTTTCGACTTAGGCACAGTTGACTTAGGCAAGTTTAACTGTAGTAAATATATTTTTATACTGTTTGCAAGTCATTTTCAAATACTTTTTTTTATGACAAAAAACACAAACAAAAAAAGAAACATAAATACCAAAGCCAGTAGCTGAAACTCTTGCATTTACAAATATTATGGTTTAATGCCCTGTCCAGACTATCAAATTTTATTGGACAAAAACATGTGACACGCCTAAATATGGTCATGATGACATCACATCATGACCATATATAGGCACATCATACCTATATATGGGCATAGAACAGTTTTTTTGGTAAATTTTATTATCTGGACATAGCTTCAAGCTTTGTCCACAGTATCAAAGTTTATGTGACAAGTTTGTGTTCTATATGCCCATATATGGGCATGATGTCATATTACACCCAAATATGGGCGTGATGTCGTATTGCTCCCAAATATGGACATATCTGTGTTTGTGAGCTTAACACAGTAAATATACAAACTTTTTATTATCTTAATTTCCAAGAACCTTTGTTATATTTCAGGATTAGCAGCAGCAAAACCTAAAACAGAAATTGATCTGAAAGTGGCTGACTTCCTTGCTGTAAGTATTTTTTTAATCATTTATGTTTAATAATATATAACTAGGTTCAATTTGTTTTTGATAAGAATGTGAAATACCATTTTTAATGAAATTTAAATTGTGCTAAACTTTAATCATTTAGAAAAATTAATCAAATATCAACACAGCTTTTTAACTTTCTTAGAGATCATTTTTGGATTGAAAAGTAGCCTACTAATTAATAATTATCACATTAATTTTAATATCCTACTTAACTATTGTGTTTTGATAAAAACATGGAATTATTTTCAATAATTTTGAATCATGATCTGGCATTTTTTTTTTATAAACTAGGATGTTATTTAGATATGTAGACATGATTACTAACTGATACAAAACATTGTATGCTATATACAGGAGATAGAGGCATTGGACACTCCAAATGGTAGCGGATCAAACACACCTAAAGAAGAAGTGCATGAAGATGAAGCACCTGCTGTAACCGCGACAACATCTTGGGAGGCCCCTGTAGCTCAGCCATCTGCTGAAGAAATAGGTATGTCATGGTTAATACAGTTAAACTTGCCTAAGTCGACTTTGCCTAACTTGCCTAAGAATAATTTCCAAGTCAAACTTATATTACATGCTATATTGTTGTGTTTTCCATTAATTAATTAATCTGTAAGTCAAAATTTCAAACAATTTTTCAATGCCATTTTGGATTCGACTTTGGCAATTTCAGCTGAATAAAACTTAAAAGTACTTGCCGTATATTCCGGTGTATAAGCCGCAAATTTTATACGCAATTTTCCCTCCGAAGTTTGGGGTGTGTCCTATACACCGGTCATTAATCTACTCCCAAAAGTTCAGATCGTGAGCTGCGGTGAAAATCAGGCGCCGTCTGTCTAGGTTAGGCCTATGCTAGCTCAATTAATTAGCCTAGCCTAGGACCGGTTTGTAGCCCTAGTATTTGTAATTATACTCACAACTGTGATGTACCAGGATTCCTACTACATTTTCTACGACATTCAAGCAATAGTTTGGGTTGCCTAAATTATTTTCATAATTACGTTCACTTATAAACAATTTTAAAACACGCTGTTTGTGTTCGAAACCGCTTCGCTCAAAACAATAACAAACTACCTTTCGGGAGTTTGGTCCTCGAGGTAACGTGAGCAGCTTCATTTTCGATGTCGCAACAAAACACATGTGGTGGGCTGGTGGTGAAACATTCCAGTTGTTTGCTTGTTTAATAATCCGCAGAAAAAGATTAAATTTCTTTATGTGAACATTTATAAATAATATCAATGTTTCAAAATAATTAAAACTTAACATTATGGGAATGGTTTGGAGCTTAAAAAAAGGTGTGGCTTATACACAGGTAACAAAAAAAATTGTGATATTCGCGTCCTAATTTGGTGGGTGGCTTATACACAGGTGCGGCTTATACACCCGAATATACGGTATTCACGTTTTGATCATTTTATTTCATTTATTTGGTGCAAACACAACAAGTTGTGACATACAAC